GTAGCCTTGAAACCAGAGAACACCAGTTAGCCCCTGCCCACTTGCCTTCCTATTCAACCATCCTATAAGTCTGAAACAAAAAGCCCTTGAAAACCACTTAGCAATTGCCCACGGAGTGTTTTGACTGTGAAAATACAAAACAAAAGGCTTTATTACCACCATATTAGGCATTTCACTAGAAATAGTGCTTTTAGTGGATGTTGTAGTAGGCCGTAGGCCTCTGAATAAACTTTTTCTGAGCTTTTCCCCAGAGAGGGTGTAGTGAGGTTTTCCCACTGACTTCTCAAGTGCCCCACAGCAGAGAGCCCTTGTGCTGGAAGTGAGCCATGCCCTCAGATCATAGGCTCATTCTCTTTTCTGGGAATACTTGTTCATTTTCTCTGGGCACCTGAGGTGTTGTGGCTGCATTTTCTGCAGCTCCAGCTGTAGTCGCTGCTTGGAGGAGGAACTGTTGGGAGCCAAACCTGTGCTGGCTTCTGCAGTCCAATAGACTTGTGAGTTGGGACCTCACAGAAATGGTGTTCTCTGTAAAATCCTCCCTGCTTCTTCCTTCTTCCCATCAAAATACACACAGAAATGCTTTCTTGGGATGCAAACAGGTCCATGTTACAGCCCTGGGGCACAACAGCAGTCTGAGTTTGGTGTGTAAGCTTCCATGTGAGTTTGCTCTTCGGACTGCAAAGACTGTCTGGCAGCAGAAAGCTGTGCCACAGCCATAGGGTGGTCCCTATCAGTAGGATGTTTATATGGTTGTCACATCAAATGCAGTGCCATCCCTGGTTTGCAGCTTTGATGTGTTCTCATTGTGGAAAAATGCTGCATATGACTATACCCATTGTTTTAAGATATTCTGCCATAAACCTGTAGTGGCTGACTTTTCATATCCTGCAGATTTATAATAGCAATCAGGAAAATCAAGTGGTGCTAGAAATCCCATAAAGACAGCTAACTGTGTAATGCATTAAAGGTATACAAATAGCACCTGGGGATCCATTATCACTCCTGTTGACTGCCTAACTAAGCAATCAGTTTTGGAGGGAAGCTAATAAGGGCAATTCTTTCTGACCAAACTGGGGTAATTAGTGATAGAAATGGAGGGAAGTGGGAAGAGTTAGCATTGTGAGACATGGAATTTTTACGACAGGCTGGAGCATTTGCTGATGAGCCAGTAATGTACATTCTGAGGTCCCTCATCTGCTACTAAAACAGAAGGTACAGAATTCTGAGGAAAACCTTACATTTTTTTTGCATGTAATTGTCATTAACCAAGTGTTTGTGCATCTCCATTTCCCAGATTAAAACAAGGTATTTACTGTGTCTTAAGCATTGCTGCTATGTCTGTCTACTCAGGTGTTACTTATTGTATGAAATGTCCCTTGAAGTAAAGATATCTAGATAGGCATTTTTTACACCAGGAACAGATGGTGTAAAAATAGATCCCTAAGGGTTGTTTTTTGTAAGATTTTAAAGCACACGCAATCAAACCACCAATTGCTTTCCTTGAGATTAAGGTTGAGCAGGTACTAGCTAGTGCTGTTTTCACTGACTTCAAGTCATCAAAAAAAGACAAAAGGAACATCTGTCTTTTACTGGTGTAAATTTGAGATGTTTATAGATTTGAACTATCACTGTTACCATTTTAGCTGGATGGTTCAGAACTAGCATCTGAAAGTTGTTCAAGTAGCTTTTGGAGGTCCAGGGTGCTTACAATTCTATTGGCTCTGTGTCTTTGGCAAGCATCAAGACAAGGATGTTATAGACCAAATGTAGAGAAATACCTCTTGATGTTTAGCTGAGTTCAGACCAAATAGGGCTGGTTGAAAGGTGTGAGTGCCAAACAGACAAAAGGTGAGATAATTGTTTTATCAGGTAACAGTCACCATAGCAATCAAACTTTACCATGCATGACAAGGTCCTCAAAGTCTTTCCACTGTGCTTCTTTTTGATGCAGCTTTTGTTACAATGGGTGTGTTAAGGGCTTCAGCTGCAGTGAACTGTGGCTCTACAGGGTTCTTTGCCATGGGACTGTGTGCAGTGTTCTCAGAGCTATACCTTTACTTGAATATAATGTTAAATCAACTTTATTCATGTAGCTTTTAGGTTTTGCTGACCATTCAAATACGGTGCATGTTTATTCTGTTGGACTTGCTGCTAATGCTGTGTTGCTGTGCTGGGCGTGGTGCTACTGAGCTTTGCCCAGAGCTTCTAGCTGTGGTGACCCTGGGAGCAGACAAGCTCCAGGTTTACCCTAGTCTGTTGTGCTATCGTAGTAGTACCATGCCACAAACACATTAAGTCTGGCCTCTGCCAGGTCTGAGCCTTTCTTGATTATCTTCCATTGCAAGTGAAAATTTGATGGGGTTTTTTTTTGTTCCTGTTTTCTTTGCAGAATACAGATGTTGACCACAGACTGTGCTGAGTCTTTCTGACTGCTAAAATAGGATATAAAAAATAAAATTTATATTTGGGGTGGATGGCAGTGAGCTTTTAACTGCCAGGAGAAAATATTGCATAATTTGGAAATAGAAAGCATGTTCCTTCAGTGAAAGGACGTAGAAAGAATACTGATGATTCTTCATCAACAAGGCCCCTCTTATGTCTTTTTTAATTTGGCCGGTAAACCAGCGTCTGAGTGCGTTGGGATGAACTGCTAACTTGGAATACTTCCCCGGCTGACTTTGTGAAAGCCCTTCTGTGCTACTGAAGGAACTCGGTGAGACATGTCACATGGGCTGTCCTTCTTTCTGGCGATGAAAGGCTGCCCTAGCCAGGCCAGCCTGGGAAATGCAGGCTGCAGAGCTGGGATTCCAGGAGCAGAGCAGGGGAAGCTTTCACAAACTTTGGGGTATTCATTCCCAGCGGGCTTAAGTGGGAGCTAGCTAACACGAAGACAAAACTCCTGTTGTCTTGTTATTGAGATGAAGCCTATTGTACTTGCTTAGCAGCACTGCAACAAAACCAGAGACGAATCACTGCAAAGTGGCTCTAGAGTAAAGCGTAAATGTCGCCCACAAACATGGAGTTGCCGAGTGTAAGATTTGATACTACATAATGTGTGTCCCAGTTGAGCCGAGCTCCGTGTTATTCTTAAAACCCTTGTTTTGTTGGCGTTTTCCCCTAAATCTGACATTTTCTCTCTGGGCTATCTATGCTGTGAGGATGGGTCACAGAGAAAGGCTCCTGGGGTCTCCACACCAGCACAGGGACAGTCCCATGTCTGTGTAGGAGTGGGCTGAGAAACCATCCACTCTGCAGCAGGGAGCTCCCCAGGAAGAAGCACCTGCCTCATGGCACGTGCTTACCCACTCTGTGAAATGCTTTTCAAAGTCTTCTTAATCTTCAAGCTGTAATGCTTGCTTCTCCACAGAATTTCTGTCTTGTTCACTTTTTCTTTGCCTCTTAGAAACTATGAACCAAAAGCTAATTACATGAAGTGTGCCAAAATGGAAGTAGAGTATTTTTACATTACAACTAACTCTAAGTATTGGTAACTGTATCAGCATTTTAAGCCTCTTCTATGGCTTATTTAAAGGAAGAGGGTACCTCTTGGAAGAAAATGCCTGTGTCCTTTCTTCTTCTGTATTTCTTGTGCTTGCTGTTTTCTGTCTGTACTCCCTCCTCCTGTTCTTAACTTTTTCTGTTTCTCACTGTGTCCTGGTTTTAGCCGGGATGGAGTTAATTTTCTCAGTAGCTAGTGTAGTGCAGTGGTTGGATTCAGAGTGATAATACTGTTGAGAGTACACTGATCTTTTGGTTTTTGCTAAGTTGTGTTTATCCTAAATCTTTCTTTTATTTTCTTTCTTGTGTCTTATGCTCTGCCAGTGAGAAGGTACACAAGAAAACTGGGAGGGAGCATAGCCAGGACAGGTGCCCTGACCTAGCCAAAGGGATATTCCACCCCATGGCACATCATGCCCAGTCTATAAGCAGGAAGGGCCAATCCGGGGGAGGGACGGGGCTGTGCCTGTCCGTGGGTGTGAGAAATTGGATTATGCATCACTGATTTTGTTCTTTTTATTATCCATTAGCATTTTGGCTCATTCTGCTCTTTATTACTATTAAACTGTTCTTATCTCAACCTACATATTTTACTTTAATTTTTCTCCTCCCCATTCCTCCGGGTTGAAGGAAGGAGGGGGGAGGAGGGAGTGTGAGCAGCTGCATGGTTCTTGGCTGCTGCCAGGGGTTAAACCACAACACACTGCCACATGGACCAGACTTGCTGGCTCCTTGAAAAACTAGTGATCTACTGTAATACAGACTGTAATGTAAGTTACTCGGGCAAATTTGAAGCAGTAACTGAAATCAATGGAATTGCTCAGAGGGTGGTGAAACACTGGCACAGGCTACCAAGAGGGGTGGTAGATGCCCCATCCCTGGAGGCATTCAAGGGCAGGTCAGATGGGACTCTGAGCAATCTGATCTACTTGAAGATGTCCTTGCTTATTGCAGGGGAGTCAGACTAGATGATCTTTAAAGGTCCCTTCCAACACAAACCATTCTATGGTTCTAGAGTAATTTCTAAGTAAAAAGAAACTTGTTCAGTAAATTATCTTTAATAGCAGTCCTGGTATGATATTTTTAATTAAGATTCTTATATGATTACCATGATATTTAAGCTCCTTTTGGTAGATTTCTTTGCTATCTTATTCAATACATAGTATGTGGCATGTGCAAGGTATTCTTAAACTTTTATTTATGTATCTTTGTGCTTATTTCTTAATGTAATTCAATACAAACAAGACCACAGTCTACCAGAGAAGTTCATTTTCTCTTTTGTCTGCTGTATCTCTGATCCTGTGTTCTAAAATGGTGAATGTTACAAATGTCAATCTTTGGAAAAGTTTAATATGAGAACTACCTCCTGTATTATACAAGGAGTAGTAAGGAAAATATTTTCAGCCTGCCAACCCAGCAGAGGACAACCATGAATGCGTTTGCACACTGAAGTGTTATTTCTGTTTTGAAAATATTTTCTCCCTCCTTTTCTCCTGATCCAGGGAGAAGAAACTGAAAGCTAGAGTGCAGGAGTTAGTGAGTGCTTTGGAGAGACTCACGAAGAGCAGTGAAATCAGACATCAGCAGTCTGCAGAATTTGTTAATGACCTTAAAAGGGCAAACAGGTAAAGCATCTACCAGCAGATGGATGCATCATGGATTTTTTTTGCTGTGTTCTAGCAAGGCACTGTAATTCCCTTTACCCTAATGAGAAGTTTCTAGATCCTCATGTTCACATTTTGACTCTTTAAGGCTGTAGGTAGAGATTGAGGCGGTATAAACCTCCAGTATGGCCACTAACAACTACATAGTTAAGAACAGAGTGGGGGAAATAGGTTAATCTTAACTGAGTTAGTAGTAAGTGCAGAATTACAAAACCAAAATAAAAACAGACTTATGAATATGTTGCTTTGGTTTAAACTGCTCCCTCGTCTTTGGCTCCAGCCTCTTCATTAGTAAACTCTCTTGGATAATCACACTTAAATTGTACTTCTCACTCAGGGCATTTTAGTAGCACTGTGTTTGGGTGAAGTAGGAATATGGTGGATTGCAACTGCCCTTCCTGCAGTGAGCTGATCACTCACAATGTTGTTTTCCTTGTATTATACTTGAAAGCTTTTGTGGTACCCATCTCAAGCTTTCCTACTCAGTCAGTGTGGAGGCATAGAAGCTACTCAGCAGCTGACACATTAGCACCAGATGCCATCCCCTGAACGCAAATGTCATTTTTAAAAATGGAAAATGCAAACTCAGTCCTGGCTTTTCTCAGCAGATTCTGGCAATTCAATGCTTTTATAAATCATTATATGTTTAATGTTGTGGTATCCTGACTCACAAACTGTTCTGTGAGGTCATCATCAGCAACCTCTATCTGGCTCTCTGAACCATGTTTTAAAATGTTTTCTTCACCAGTTTACTGGGAAAGGTGTGTACTTGCCCCAGAAAAGACGGAGACAGTAGCATTGATCTGGGTTTGGATCAAAAAGCACTGATCAGTAAAGATCAAAAAGATGATCAGTACCCAAACTTTGGAGTTCCCTGAACATGGGGCTTTTGGGTGGATTTTTTTGTAGCACTTGTTATGAATAAGCCTTTTTGAATTACCTTGTATTGCCTTGTGTTTTTAACAGCAACTTGGTAGCAGCTTATGAAAAAGCGAAGAAAAAGCATCAAAATAAGCTGAAGAAACTGGAATCACAAATGATGGCCATGGTGGAGAGACATGAAACGCAAGTAAGGATGCTCAAACAAAGAATAGCTTTACTAGAAGAAGAGAACTCCAGACCACACACCAATGAAACTTCACTTTAAATACATGTCTTTAAAAGATGCTTAGTGCCATTACAACTTTCTGTCTTTTGGAGTCTGACTTTTAGGTAGCTTCAAATGCTAAAAGCTCTGACTGTCAACACTGACACACTTAGCACCTTCTCTGGGATCCCAGAGAGGTATCATGGGGATAATATAAGTGTTAACCTTAAGGACTGTTTCATAATGTAAAATGGCAGTGCCTGAATTATCATGCTATAATTATGTATGTTGTCTGTGTTGTTATGTCTATATTCCTACAGCTTCTCTTCCATTTTATGTATGTCCCAATGGGTGACAGTGTCACATAGCAAAATAATTCATGTTAAGAGGTTTTCATTCAGGCAGTTTGGAGATCATTTGAGAGTTTTCCCAATCCCTGAGCTCCCTTTGCACACAAGTGCATATTGTACCCTCAAGATTCCCCGTGTGGTTAAGCCAACCAAACAGGCAACTGTAGAGCAGGGAACTGACAGGCTGACTTGCTTTTTTTGCACCATACTTGCAGTACTGCTGCTCACAGTACAGATCAGGTAGGAAAACTCCTGTTGATTTGGAAAAAAAAAAAACCTAGAAACCGTAGTTGCATCTCTGAAAACTATGATACTGATGTATTTCTTTGCAGTTTTTAAGAGGGCTAAAGGCTGTGAGTTTCACCACACCACACAGATAGTCTGTGCCAAGGGTGGGTAAGAAATCATCGGAGACGTCCTTGTATTTATATTGCATGGTGTTTGCAACTACTATGTAAAAAAGTTGGGTTTTCTTGCTAATAACATTTTCGCCAAGTTTTTCTTTAAGAAGCTGGACTGTTTTGTCATGTGTATAACGCTTATTACAGCTTACTGTGATCAAGAGGTAGAATGTCTTCTTTTTATACTTTTTTTTTGACCAAAAAAGGTACTTATTAGGAATGTACCTGTTTAATAATGAATACATAGGCACAAAACTATAAATGTGTAGGTGTATGGATATCCAGCCACAAGCAGAATGTGAATGGTGAAGTCTTCATACAGCTTCTTTGGTTAGTTTTTGCTACTGCTAACATTGTTTTCTTTTGTTTAAATCACATCATATTACTGTATTATCAAAACTGACTGAATTGCAAATGTTGGCCTATTACCACAATAAACATAAAGCAAAGAATGGGGATCTGGGTGATTTCTGTAGGCGGCAAAATACAGAAGTCTGCCATGGCACCTGATACGTTCAGAATTTGCTTTTTTGACAGAGTATGTAGAACAGCTTTCATGTGTGTTTTAGCATGCCAAACTGGCATCCATTCACTGTGTTAGCCTGCTGCTGTGTTACAGATCTGCTTTGCATTTTTCAGGCTGATTTTCAGTGAATCTGATTTCAGGAGCTTTTTATCCTTTTTGCTTTACATGTTGAGTTGCACCTCCAGTTTTACTTGTGTATTTAGAATTATGATAACTTCTCTCAATTATTCCTCCCATTTCTAGTACTAAGGAAATATTTTTAGCGGACGTGTTTTAGTGTGCTGTTGGGTTAGGCCAGGCAGCCAAAATAGTTGTGGGAATTTGTGTTCAGACTATGGCATTATTGTTAATAATGCCATATTACAATGGCATTATTACATCTGAACTGGTAGCAGTTGGTGTTCATCTCTTACTACTGTAGCTGCTGTTGTTTTCTTCTCTTAGGGCAGTGATTTCTACTTCTCTAGAGTCTGATAAATCATCTACAAAGCCAGCATCGTATGTGGTTGATTGCAACAGCAAGTTAAAACAATGCTGATTTTGAAATATTTAGATAGTGATGTCCTGGGATTGGTTTTGATCGGTCCTCTTTCTCAAGATAATTGCACTTCTTAATTTATAATGTGAATGGAAAATTTTTCAAACCTGTCTGTTGAGGGAGCAGGCACATTGATTTCCTCTGTCTTTATGGTTTTGCTTAGCAGCTACCCATGGTGTTTCCCTTTTTTTTGCCAAATTTCTCAGCAACAGGAATGTGGGGTTTGCCATAAGCTTCAGTGGTAGCTGAGCACACTTATTTCAGAAGAAACACAAAGAAAAGTATTCACTATGTACTGTGGCAAAAATGCAGTTACAATTTGACAGATACATATTAAGAAGGCATGAAATCACAAACACAGAATGGTTGCATAGGACCACTGGTGAGGTCATCTAATCCAACCTCCCTGCTCAAACCGGGTTTCCTAGAGCAGGTTACTCAGGATTGCAGCCAGATGGTGCTTGAATATTTCCAGTGAGGGACAATTCAGTGTCTCTCTGGGCAATCTCTTCCACTGCTCAGTCACCCACACAGTAAAGAAGTTCTTTGTCATATTCATGTGGAACTTCCTGTGCCTGTTTCTGTCCATTGCCTCATGCCCTATTGCTCAGCACCACTGAGCAGAGCCTGGCTCCATCCTCTTGGCACCCACACTTTAGAAACTTGCATACACTGATGAGGGCCCCTCTCAGTCAGCTGTTTTCAAGGCTGAACAAGCACCTGGGTTTAGAGGCATAAAGAACTGCCGTGTCCCTCAGTGCCCTTTTCAAGCCTAAAGATTTGCTGAATCCATTTCACTACATTACTGCATATTTTCCCTGCCAACTGTATTCTCAAAGTGCTTTAGAATACATTATCAGTAAATATAAGCCATTCCTATTTTCTGTCCATAGGGCTTGTAGATGGAAAAGCAAGGCTGGTATCATACAGCCTCAGCAGTAGCCATAGTTTGCCGGACCAAGCAAGCAGCTACTGCTTCATTTGCTGGCATACTGGAAAAGATCAGTAGGGATGTGGTAAAATGTTTAATGCTATTGTGAAAACTGTTCAATACTAATAATTAGCTGCAGTTCCAATGTATCCATTAAAATGGCACCAAGCCTTAGAATAAATGCCAAAAAAACTAAAACTCCTTTTATGTAACTCTGAAATACCAGCACACCAGAGTGTGCAGTGCATCTTGAGTTACAGCAACTTACTTAACTCACTTGTGGTTCTTGCCAACAAAACCTAAATTCATTCCTGAATTAATGATCAGGTGGTTGGTTTTAATTTTCTAAGTCACTAGAATGCATGAAACTTTGTATTTCACAGTGTGTTCAGAAAAAAAATACTTTTTTCTAATTTTATGTATAAATCTTCACCAGCTTGAATGTACTGTTAGCTATTGCAAAGCACAGGTAACAAAGTTTGCATTCATGTCAGTATTTTCTACTGATTTTATTAGGATTTTCTCCTCCTTTAATTCTGCACCATACATTGTAACTTTAGAAACTTTTCACCTTGCTGAATTAGCTCTAAATGTGTTGCTACTTTTTAGTTTCCTAGTAGCTGTGAAATACCTGGTTTGTGTTTATTTGATATAGAATTGTAAAAACTGCATTTATTTATACAGAGGCATTTATAATACTTATTTTACAAATGTTCTTATATTCTGAATAAATTTCTAATGCTGTTTCTTTGCCTTGGGAGTTGTTTTACCATAATTTGTCATGTTATTGTTGAATGGGATTGCCCTAAAGGCATCTTAGAGGCAAAGGTAACTTATTACTGAGGGAGATGGTATGGTATTGTCAGGAAGGTTCCTGTAATAGAAACACGAAAAATTGGTAAAAACTCAGCTAAGTCTGATCACAGGGTTTAGCTGAGCAAAGGAACATTAGTACTTCCCAATACCCTCTTCAGCTTCAATGAAGACTTTATAGAAATGGAAAGGTACATGTGAAACTGTTTCCACACATCATCTTTTACTAACAAGTTACATGGACCAAAACAAACAAACAGTCAAACAAAAAAATCAGTATTTCATTAGTACTTTTATAGCACTGATTGAAGTTCACATACCTCATTTCTCCAGAACATCTAACACCTTTTCTGATTGTTTGGGGGGGGTTGTTGTTGTTTTGCTTGTTGGTTTGGTTTGGTTTTTTGTTTTGTTTTGGTTTTGTTGAATGGGCTCCTGGTCTACCTTTACAATTGACTTTAAAAAATAATGCTTCTTTTCCTGGCACTGTGTATAATCACAGGCATAAGGCAACACACAAAAAGAGTAGCCTGTACAAGCACAGGCTTTATATTTCACAATGACCAGCAGTCCTTGTATTCATACTTCAGGAAGTTTATTTATAAAGTAACTTAAATTTTACAGAGAAAACAAAAATATAGGAGAAAAAATGTCAACTTAGTCATAGTCTTTTAAAGGGTGTGCTTCAGTTTCTGATTCAACTAATAAATCAAATCACAATCATCAGTACAGCAGATAGTACAGATGGTTACAGATTTTTTCATACAATTGAAGAGCTGATTAATGCAAAATTTCTTCAAAAGAACACAATGGAAATTGAATTGAATCTGTAATGATTTTAACTTTATTAGCTGTACATACCTTCTACTTAAATAGCACTGCTGTGCTACTTACATACCAATGAGGAAAAGCAGATCAAGTTCTTGATCTTAAAACTATGGAGGAAGACATAACCCTTCATGCATAAGCCATATAATAAAACACTGGCTCTCTGTTTTCTACAAGGCATGCAATGCTGCCCTGAAAAGTGTTATCTTTTGGAAGCAATACCCGAATCAGTCTGGGCCCTGGAACACATACAGCAATCAGGCATTATGCCAGCATTAACTAACGACTCCCCCCCTTCTTCTGTGGGGTCTGTTTTGCTTTTTAATGTTAAAAGTGCCTTGCAAACCCAGCTAAACTGCTTCTCAGGGATGGAGTACAACTTCCACATACTGCAGTGCCATGCAGACATAGTAGAACTACTTAAGGATCTTGTTCTAAGTATAGGCATGAGAAGTATTTGCTGAGAGCTCTTAATCATGCAGTTTTGCATATTCTTTTCTGCATCATGAAATTATGTTCCCAACCAGTAAGATGCAAATGGTTAATCTCCACAGTTTAGTAGTTTTGATGAAACATGCTTAGAAAAAATTTGTGAAGTTCTTCTCACAGCAGAAGTGTGCCATGGAGAACTGTGTTTGCAGGATCTGTATTCCCAATAAATAAGCTATGAATGCCTTGTTTTAAAAGGATGAGTCATAATTATTTTCTTAAAGACACTGAACATAACCCATACTGGAAGCATGAAGCTAGATCCTCTGATCAACAATATAAATGCTTAAAAATGACAAAATACTCTGTTTTCAGTAAAATTCAGTGACCTATTCAAATTTAAACATTCTGTACTCTGTGAACTGTTTCATAATTACTTAAAAGGAAGCTCTTTTATTCCTGCAAGAATGGAAAGAGGAACTGATGCCACTTAAGTCTTCCCAGGAGCATCCCAAAGCTGAGAATAATTTGAAGATAAGGGTTTCTGTAAAGCTAAA